TACTAAAATTAAATGAACTAAAATTAACAATTATACATTTACATAATTTCTATGTATATAATTTATATAATTTAACAATTATAGTGTGTAAAAAAATAAGTAATCTGGAATTAAACTGAAAATAATACAAATAAATACAACATTAAACATTTTTGACTATAATGGATAATAAATAAATGCAATCTTGCTGAGCATAAAAGACATCTTTCAAAAACATTAAAAAAAAAAAAAAACTTACTGACCCCAAACTTTTGAACGTTGCTGGGCATCGAAATGCTTATCATTGCTTAAGATATATTTACTTACCAATGCGATATATTGTAGTATTTTTGCATTAAAAAATGAGTAACACAAATACAGTAATGAAGCTACTTATTATTTCATCTCACTTTTTATTGGTGAAAAAAATTAAAATACACATTTAAAAATATAAGTTTCAGTTAACTTTAACCTAATCGAAAGTTAAAATGTATTAAGTAAATAAAATTGTTCATTGTTCTTAATTTCTGCCTTAGTCACTTTTTTGGCTCATAGATACAAAATTACACTCTTTGTGTTTTACAGAGACTGTATGAAGTTGGGGGAAGTGGATGGAAAAAAGATTGGCTGTACAGTCAGTCTGCTGGTATGTTTAACTATAATCTTTAGTGGCATTATTTGTCTTTGTCTTTTAGATTAAATGTTTGTGTGTTAACACGGGAAGTGATTTAGATGCTTTAATTCATGGTGGAAGCACTACAGTCTTTCACTGCTGAGGGCTGTATTGTGGAGTGATTTCCTGCTTTCTGCACTTCTTCTCCAAGTCTCCTTGGTTTATCCATATGAATTCGTTCATAGGAACCAGACCGACAGTGAAAATCAGTGCCGAAAAGCACTTGAAGCACTTCATATCCACACTCCAACACTCTTTGTCTCTTTTCCACAGAACTTCTACAAAACAGAGCTGAATAAAGAGGAAATGTACATCCGCTACATTCACAAGCTGTATGACCTGCATCTGAAAGCGCAGAATTACACAGGTACTCAAGCATGACGTGAACCAGAAGTAGTTTGAAGATACGGTTAACAGATATATTTTGATGACGTGTTTATGTGTGCAGAGGCCTCATATACACTTCTGCTGTACGACGAGCTGCTGGAATGGTCTGAGAGACCCTTGCGGGAGTTTCTGAGTTACCCGATGCAGAGTGAGTGGCAGAGGAAGGAGTATCTGCACCTCACCATCATCCAGAACTTTGACCGTGGAAAGGTCTGTGTTTTCTGCCGTCCTCCCTGTCTTTGTCACGTTTCTCATCGCGTGGCTCCTCTCAGCCTGCTATTAAATTATCAGTGCGTGATTGTATTTTGAGTAGTTGTCCTTGAGAACTAAATGGCATTTACATAATCAGTAACCTCAATCACCTAATCACTTGATGAGAATAAAAAATCAGTGCGTTTGTTGTCTGCTTTCCTCATGGCTGAAGCCATCTGTTGTGCTGGTGGATTTAGGAAGCAATAGGACTGAAACGCTTCCTCATAATAAACGATGTGCATAAGAACAATACGTGGATATTCGACAAATGTCATGGACTTTTTAAAGACAATATGAAATATTGCAGTTGAAAGCAAAAGTGAATACAAAAAATATCACATCATGACATTTATTATTACAGTACAAACTAAACATGTAGTAACAAAATATGTAGCGCATTTTCAACTAATAAATAAATAAATAATAAAAAACAGTTTATATTTTGCTACAGACATTTTATTTATAATTCATATTTTTAATTCCAGTCATTAAAACAAAATATGTAGCTGAAGTTTTTTTTTTCAATGTCAAGATTGCCAAAGAAAATTTTTATAAATATATATTTTGCATGAAAATATTAATTATTTAATTTTATTTTAGATTTCCAAGATTTAGGATAATAAAAAGCAGTTTATATTTTGCTAATTATTTATATTAATGTATATTTTTAAATTCAATCATTAAAACAAAATAAGTAGCAGTTCTTTTTCAATGTCAAGATTGCCAAGATAAATTAATATATATATATATTTTGTAGGAAAATATAATCTGCATTTTCTTTTTTTTTTTATTTCTTTTTTTTTTCTTTTTTTCTTTTTTGACCAGATATTGAATTAAAATCAACCAGATTTCTTCATACCATCTTGCAAATCATCCAAATCTTGCATATTTGACTATGTCGTTGGTTCTCAAAGTATTGATGGTGCTCTAGTGGCTCCTACTGGTGTGTTATGAAACTGCATGTGAACTAAAATACCCCTCTCTACCCCTTTAGTGTTGGGAGAACGGCATCATCCTGTGCAGAGAGTTAGCGGACCAGTACGAATCCTACTATGACTACAGAAACCTTAGCAAAATGAGGGTGAGTTAAAACTTTTTATGTAAGAAGACAGTTGTTTGCATTAAGCCAGTTATTAACAGAAACACATGGAAAACAATGGAGTCTCATTAACATAAGATTACCTACATTTACAGTACATATCAACCCCTAATTGGCAACTTGGCTGCATTGTTGATCATTTCACATGAAAAAAATGTTGGTCAATCAAATAAGAGGTCATGTACGTAACTCTAGAAGGTAAAAAAAAAAAATGTAAATGTCAGAATGTAGAAATGGTCATCTACAACTTTATTTTAGTGCAAGAAAGTTTTAACTTTTAGTTAATTAAATGCATAAAATGTGTACAATATGGTCCCTATAACTGAAAAACGGTATTAATTGTATTTTCTGCTTATTATATGACTGCAAATCACAGATGATGGAAGCTTCGTTTTATGATAAAATAATGGACCAACAGCGTCTGGAGCCAGAGTTCTTCCGAGTGGGCTTCTACGGCAAGAAGTTCCCTTTCTTTCTACGGGTATGTGTCATCCTGACATCGTGCAGCATACCAGATGTCACTGTCAGTATCTCTGAAGTCCACTTGGTGTCAGTATTAACCAGAATGTGTGTATATGTGTGTGTGTGTTGTACAGAATAAGGAGTTTGTGTGCCGTGGTCATGACTACGAGCGTCTGGAGGCGTTCCAGCAGCGCATGCTCAATGAGTTCCCTCATGCCATCGCAATGCAACACGCCAACCAGCCTGACCAGACCATCTACCAGGCTGAAGCCCAATGTATCCTCCAGACATCTCTTCTCTTTTCCGAACGCACACACTTGCACACCAGATAGTCTTATACTAGCATTTTTTTTTGTTTGTTTTAAAGAACTGTTCTCTTGCATTGTGTAGTTATTGTCCTAGTTCCTTTAACTCATGTCAGGTTGCCCTAACTAACTGATTTACTAATTTTACTATTAGCAGCAAAAATGCTCGTGTCATCACCATTACTATTTCTCATACTAAGAGTTACAAATGTGAACTAACCCCTAACAGTATAAAGTCTTAAACTTTAGTGTGCAACACAGATGTTTCCATTCAGTAAATCTGGCAGAATCCTGCTAATTTAAAGGGGTCATATGATGCGATTTCAAGTTTTCCTTTCTCTTTTGAGTGTTACAAGCTGATTGTGCATAGATAAGATCCCTGAAGTTACAAAGACTAAAGTCTCAAAACCAAAGAGATATTCTTTATCAAAGTTAAGACTCTGCCATGCCCCCCTAAAACGGCTTGTTCTAACACGCCCCCACATATCTACCTCACTATGTGGAAATATTAGCATAATGCCGCCCAAATGTGCACGCAAAGAAAGAAGGCGTGGTTTCAGTAACCGCAGTTAGTGTTGAAGCAGCCATGTCAGGGAGACGCTTGATCTTTAAAAAAGCATCATATGACCCCTTTAAGCAGTTTATATCAAAATTCTGGGGTGTGAGTTTCATTTGGTGTGGATTAAATTAGCATTTGGATGTAAATGTGACCCTACCTTATGTAAATTAGATTTCATGAAGAGGAATTTTGTAATAATTCTCAATATCACATTGCTGATAACGGTTTTATAATTTTTAAAAGTAAAAACTTGGCGTAATATCCCAGAAGCCACTTTTTAATGCACAAAACGGATTTTCTATATGTTCTATACAGTGTCAGTGCGCAGTGCGAGATATGTGAAGCCTTGTGAGATGTGTGAAGGCCTTACTACAACAAGGTTTTTCAGAACAAGCAGAAGGCCAGAGCTGCCCGCTTTAAATACACGCCCATGTGGCTGAAAATCAATCCCCTGCCTCTCAGAACGCATATCAGGCATGGAGACGGTGGGTCGCAGGAGAGCGTTTGTTCAATTGATGAGACATGTACCTGGAGGCCAGGAGCCTGGTGAATATGTGATGTCCTCTTCAGCACAATTAGAGCAGACAGGGCCGGTCAAACTACATGAGCACAGCGTTTTGTTATCCAAGCCGGCGATTAATCATTGGCCTTCCTGGACATCTGCCCTGCTCGATTCATATTTATGTGCTGATGAGACCTCACGTCTGTGAGGCACAAGATGTTGGTTATTTAAACATTTGCGGAGGATGATTTCCAACTGTCTGCATTTGAACTGAGAGTGAAGTAGGAGATACCAAAGCAAAATTTGTTATTAAACACTTTTGTAAAGTAATATAATATAATATAATGTAATGTCATATAAAAAATGCTGGGTTAAACACAACCCAGCACTGGGTAAAATATGGACAAACCCAGCTATTGGGTTTAACCCAAATGCTGGGTCAAAACAACCCAATCGCTGGGTTTGTCCATATTTTACCCAACGCTGCATTGCATTTAACCCAGCATTTTTTATCAAATATAATATAATATAATAATGAAGTATTCATTTAATATTAATAAAGTAAACATTACTTTTAGTTGTTCAAGAAGTTATTCAAATGCATTTGTGCTCGAGCAACACATATTGCATGTTTCTTGACGAACCTTCATGCAGATCTTCAGATCTATGCTGTCACACCAATCCCAGACAGCCAGGACGTCCTGCAGCGTGACGGCGTCCCCGACAACATCAAGAGCTACTATAAGGTTAACCACATCTGGAGGTTTCGCTACGACCGCCCGTTTCACAAGGGCACCAAAGACAAAGAAAACGAATTTAAGGTGAGCTAGTGGCCAGAGCGTATTTCAGAAATTGAAGTTCTGTCATCATTTATTTACTTTTATATCACTCCAAACCTGTCTGACTGTTTTTCTGCTGTGAAACACAAAAGGAGATCTTTTGAAGAATGTGCTGGCTTCTGTTTTCCATGCAGTTTCTGTTATGGAGACTGGAGCTTCTAAGCTTCAAAATAAGATACAAAACCACCATAAAAGTACCATGAAATTTGTTCATATGACTATATTCCAAGCCCTCTGATATGATAGGTTTGTGATAAACAGACCTCTGGTTTGCTGTTAACTGCAGCATATGTATTGTTGAATCAGTATTTGAATGAATCAGAATACTCCAGTTTTCATTCATTGAGACCTGTTTTGTGTACTGGATCAATGATTCATTTAAATTGGCATTATTTACTTAGCAGTTGCTTTATCCCAAAATAAATACAGCTTTCTAAGGATTAAAATATTGAATGATTTGGTCACAAATTTGGTCAGCTAATTTCAGTGTTATTCTGTGATTAGCAACTTAAATTTAGTGTGCAACACAAACTGTTTCTATTCAGTAAATCTGGCAGAATCCTGATGACTCGGTTTCTTAAAACTGTCGTATGCCTTTTTAGGATTTATAATTTAGTGCACGAATCATATGAACTGCCTTTATAGTGCCTTTACCGTCCATTTTGAAGCTTTAAGACTCCTGACCATGTTCATTGTAAATGTATGGATCAAAACTGACCAGAAAATTCTTCAAAAAGTGTAGACGGCAGAAAAAGTAACGCGGGTGAGTAAATAATGTGTGAGTTTTTTATTACAGGATTTTTTTATTCCATCTTTTTCGGCATTCTTTTGATGTCATTTTTTCTCATCTCCTGTGTTTCACTCTTCCTCTCTTGTGTATTCATTCCTTCACTTCCAGTGTCTGCCGGCCATTGTGTGTGTGTGTGTGTGTGTGTGTGTGTGTGTGTGTGTGTGTGGGGGTTATATTTCCCCCGACCTCCGGTGGTTACTGTGTTTGAAATAAACTGTTTAGCCTGCCAGATATTATATTTTCAGAGACACCGGGGGTACTCACCACCCCGGTCCACTTACCGCCCAGTAATAATGTCTGAAAATCTCATTTAGAGGTAAACTGAGACGCTATCCAGATGATACGATTGTATTGGACTGAGGTGGTTTTGAATATCACAATCAAGCATCTGAAGTTCTTACAGAGCTTCCTCTGTTATACTTGCGCCAGCTCAGGTTAATTCTCAGGCTGTGCTGGATGGGAAATGAATTTATGAATGTGAAATTTAATATGTGGAGCAGTGTGGCTTGATAAGCGGACTGTGTTGCTGAGAATGAGCTGTTTAAAGTGTAGATTAAATGATATGTATTATACATACTGGAGTAGGAAAGTCACTCGTTCATTGAATATGTTGTAACCGCTTTGCCTTATGGGATCTCTTGGACTTTCTCTGACGGGTTGAACTCTGATGTGTGTCAATGAGCATTTGCTTTTGAATTTCAGAGTCTGTGGGTAGAAAGAACAACATTAACGCTTGTTCAGAGTCTCCCAGGCATCTCACGCTGGTTTGAAGTGGAGAGGAGAGAGCTGGTAAGTAGATCTCCCATGAAACTTTTCCTTTGGTATGATTCTCACACCCAGCGCATTAAGGTCAGGAACAAACTGTAAATGTGAATGCTTAGACAATGCATTGTGAGTGTTTTGGTCTTGTAGTAAATACTTATTGTGCTTTTTTTTTAATGTTGGAAACGAATGCTCAGTGGGACTGATATAGTTACCTTTCAAAGTAGAGATTGTAGTAGAGAGACTGAAAATTGTTTGATATTTTTATTAATATGCACACTTTTTAACTTAATTGGTAATAAATGGCACCATTTGGTGAAACCTAATGTGTAGCAAAATAATCTTATTCACAACAAGGATTGTTTTTGTAGTATAATTGTTGTCTCTCATGCTCACCAGTGCAGCAATTATTTGATAAAAATGCAATAAACACAGTAATTTTGTGAAATATTACACAATTTAAACAGTTTTGTGTTGTAAAATTTAATTTATTACACATTTTCAGCAGCCATTGCTCCAGTCTTCAGTTTTGTTACTTAATATTTAAGTAGAAAGCCTGATAATAATTTTTTTATTTGATGAATAGGTTCCTGAACAGCATTTATTTTAAATATAAATATTTTGTAACAATGTAAAAATCTTTACTTTTTTTAACTAATTCAGTGCATCCTTGCTGAAAATATTAATTTCTTAAAAAAAAAAAAAACTCCAAACTTGTGAACAGTAGTATAAGTCACAAAGCCAATTGAAAATGTACAATAACTTTCAAAAGTTTGGGGGCGGCAAGGTTGATTGATTGATTGATTTATGAAAAATAAATGCTCACCAAGGCAGGAATTAGTTGATAAAAATGCAATAAAAACCGTAATTTTGTGAAATAATATTACAATTTAAACTAACAGTTTTGTATTTTAATATATCGTAAAATTTAATTTATTTCAAATTTTCAGCAGCCATTACTCCATTCAGTTTTGTTACTTAATATTTTTTTTAGAAACCCTGATACTTTTTTTAAGGATACTTTGATGAATAGGTTCCTAAACAACAATGTAAAAGTATTTACTTAAGTTTTTTTTTCATGAATCTAATGCATCCTTACTGAAAGTATTAATTTCTTAAATAAAAAATAAAAAAACCTTACTGACTTCAAACTTTTGATTGGTAGTGCCAATTTAAAAATAGTTTTTTGGATTATAAAGAAAATAAAGAAAGTCAATAAGAATCATAACAAAAGCTAGAAGCTTTTACACTCCCATGCTTGCATAAGTTACGTTTCAGGCCTACAAACTAAATTCGTTGCTCTTCTAAAGTTCTCCAAACATTGAATGAAAGCTTTTTTCAACCAGTTTTTTTTGGCCCCAGGTGGAGGTGAGTCCTCTGGAGAATGCTATCGAGGTCATCGAGAACAAGAACCTGCAACTGCGGACGCTGATCACGCAATGTCAAACCCGGCAGATGCAGAACATCAACCCCCTGACCATGTGTCTCAATGGAGTCATCGACGCGGCTGTCAACGGAGGTCTCGCTCGCTATCAGGAGGTTGTATATTATATGTATTCCAAGTCCTCACTGATGCAAGACCACCTCGTGTTTGAAAAATGTATACACGCACGCTCTCAAGGTTGTCTCCCGGTGTCCTCTGCCAGAGAACACAGAGCCTTCAGATGGCCGAAGGGAATTCTGGGACCCCTTCGGAGTTCTAATGCGTGGTTAGCCTGTCCGAAAGAGAATATCTCAGCTGTAACTTCCCTGTGTACTCTGCCGATAATCTACAGAAACACTAGCATTTAAAGAAAAATCTTTCCCCTTGTGAACCCCATGGGAAAATCTATAGTATCTCAAAGAAGTCATATTCTGAGCGAATACAACAGCTCTTTCCAGATGGTATGAGTGCTTGTTGCATAGCAACCTCGCTTTAGTGTCACTGCAGTATTTACCTTGATAGCCTTAGAGAGCAGCTTTAATGAGGAGAGTCGACCGTATACAGGCGAGTTTGTGTTTGTACGTGTTCCAGAGTGTACATTTGCACTAAATTCACTTCATGTAGGCTGAGCGTCCTGAGGCTGAGTGTCTGGGACAGGGCTGTACGTTAACTTTTTTTTCACATAGCACTGGTGCTACAGAGGTTGAAAGTTTTGTAGCACAGGCCAAAAAGTTGTAGCACAAGTATAAAACGTCTGTTATCATGTCTGAAACAAACACAAGTAATGGAGTTCATCACTTAAACAGGCACTAATGTTCCATACAGAGCACAAAAAATACAAACCATCACAAAAATTGTTTTAGACAAAGTTTTCTTAATTTGCTAAAAATGGAAGAGTGCAGAAACATAACCCCTTTACACCTTAACAAAATATAAAATAAAAAACAATGGCAGACATTTAGGCAAAGTTAGCAAAGATAAAAATCTTTGTCATTATTTTATCTTTGTTACTTCACATTATTAAGCGGCTGTGTTATGAACATGCAAAATTGTATCGCACTCGTGCTACAGTGGTAAATTTATTCATCGCACAGACCAGTTTTTTTGTAGCACGTGCGACATATATGTCGCACTGTACAGCCCTGTGGGATGAGCAGCAGTTAATATATTTGGAGCACAAACATGACAGCATTGCCAATAAGTTGTTTATTGAGCGTTCCAGCTGTCGGTGTTAATATTTACTCTCATTTCTGCGTGTTAAGGTCAGCCCTCAAGGAAATTCCACTCTGAAATTCCTCTCATTTGCAAGCCCCTCGCTTTTAATTGGCTCGCCCTAACGATTTTCAGACTTTCCTGATAGTTGCGCCTTCTCCAGAAGTGCAGAGAGAATATCATTTAGTAAGGCAGAGGTATGTTTATCCCATTTCTTAAATTCTTGTGAAAATAATTCACAAATGTACAAGTAATTGTCCCAGAGTTCATCACATTCAAATGGCGTTTGACTGCAACAGGTAGCTGCAATTAAATCTAGTAGCTCCAGAAATCTGAGAGAAATTTGTGTAAGTCAGGGGTATTTTTATTCCTTTAAATGCTCAAAAACCTTTCTCAAAAGATATTGTAACTCAAATTGTAGAGTATGGTGCTACAAGGTCATCATTTTATTTCCCCCAGGCATGAAATAAAACTTTGGATAAAAGTATCAGCAAAATCATAGAGGTAATGACAAAACTAAGAAGGCATCGAAACCAAACTGATTTATCTATATCATAACATCGCCCACCAATTTTGAGTTTGAGAAATTATGACAAATTGTGAAAGACAGAGTGTCCAGATGCCATTTTTTGCAAATGAAACCAAAATTTGGAAGTCAAAATTATAATGAAAATATGAAATAGTGCTTATCCGAGGGGAACACTGATGCACCTTCAAATTGATTTCATGTTGTTACATTCTAATCATGGGTACCAAAATGTGCTGGTAGTCGTGTGGTGTTTCTTAAATTGGGTAAAACCTTCTTTCAGAACTTTCACCACTGAAAAGATTGTAGAATTTTTACTGACAGAAATTTTTCCCAAATTGGGAAATCTTTTTTTCATGTACATAAATCAATTTGTACCGTGTACGAAAAATAGCATATAGTAGTACATATTATGAGACAATGTTATTGCCAAATGTTATTGACAATGTCTTGCCAAATTAAATACCTTTTCTCATTGTACCAAAGCCAAAATAAATTCTGGAAATAATAGTTTTAAAATATTTCATTTAAATCTAGTTATTTCATTTATTCAAATTATTTAAATTATTCAATTAAAAAAGCAAAACAATATTAGATATAAGAGAAACATTTTTTTGTTTTTTACTTTAATTAAAATGTATTTGTAAAATGCTCTATATAATATACATCTATCCAAAGCAGGGAGCATACTAAAAGTGACACTGTCAAGGAAAAATGCACTTAAAAGATATAAATAGAAACTATTCTGGAACATATATACAAAATGGAATAATTAATTATTATTATAAAAAGCTTTCACTTAAGTTTAGGGACCAATTCTCACTATTAACTAGTTGCTTAATAACATGCGTATTACTAGAATATTGGCTGTGTATTAGTACTTATAAAGCACATATTCTGAATGACCATATTCTACATTCTTAATTCTACCCAGTACCTAAACTTAATAACTACCTAACTATTAATAAGCAGCAAATTAGGAGTTTATTGAGGCCAAAGTTATAGTTAATACAGTAGTTAGTTAATAGTGAGAATTGGACCTTAAAATAAAGTGTGACCAAAAAAAATGTTTTTATTTAAAAATATAATTAATATAAAGTTGCCAAAATCAATGACTTCCGGCCACTTTGTCACTAAAACTCACTGTGATTGTGAGTTGCTTTAGTGATCTGCAGGTGTAGCGTGCAGTTGCAATTTAAATGGCCATCTGCTGGTAGCATTCGGCTGGTGTTCAGGCCAAATGTCATATTCGAGGCAATGGAAAAATCTGCCTGCTGGAATCTTTGAAGTCTGAGAGTTGTGCCTCCTGAAACTTCTGCTCTCCCACTGTTTCTTTGGAGATACCAGTCCATCGTCCTTGGAACAGATCGGACACAGATACACCGTCTGTTCTTTCTCCTTCCCCTTTAGCTTAGAAGATCTGAAAACATGCATGTTTTTAAGCTCACATTCTTGCACTTTATTTGGTTTCAGAACTTCATGTCCCTTAAAACAGAAAGTTAATCAAGTCTAAACTATGCATGATATTGTTTGCTGAAGATGTCAAGGTAAATTCTAACTCTCATCACAAAACATGTGGAGGCTGTCGAGGCACAATGCATTGTGGTTAAGGAGTGTAATTTTGTGTGTCTTTTATTTCTCGCAGGCGTTCTTCGTGAAGGACTACATCATGAATCACCCCGAAGACGGAGACAAAATCGGCCGTCTCCGAGAGCTCATGTTTGAGCAGGTTTGTCTCATTAAACCAAATATAATCTAAACCAGATTTTACATACATTTATGATGTTTCGCGCTCATCATTCACGTCTGTTTAGGCATTTGGGATTTAGCCGTTAAGATCTGCACTAGCTGGGTTTCTGTTGGTCTCACTTCTTCCCTTCATGCCCTTGCTGCTTAGTAACCAAGAAATCTCCAGGGCCGAGCACATGATGCTGTTGTCTAGACAGTAACCATGGATATAAGCCAGTTACAAGCATGAAAGTGAACTTTTAAAGACTGAAGGGGGAGAAAATATTTTGCTGATCATTTAATTATGAAGTGAGCTGTTTAAAAGACAACATGAAATAAAAATGTATCCTGTTTGCTGCTTTAGTAAATGTCTTTCATCTTATTACTCTTGATTTGTTAGATCTTTGTTTACATAAAATCCATGCTAAATAACTGCAAGCAGAAAATGTTCATTATCAACTCATTTTAGATTGTTTTACACATTGCAACTTTTTTTGATAATTGAAACTTTATTTCTGACAATTGGGACTTATTTCTCACTATTGAGACTATTTCACAATTTTGACTTCATTTCTTATAATTGCGACTTTTTTTGGATAATTGCAGCTTTCTCACATTTGAGATTTATTTCTCACTAACGAGACTTTCATAGTTTGAACTTGCTTTTTATAATTGCACCTTTCTTGGGATAATTGCAACCTTATTTCTCACATTTGAGATTTATTTCTCGCTGTTGATAGTATTTCACAATTTGTACTTAATTTTTTATAATTTTGCCTTTTTTGGGATAAGTCCGACTTTATTTCTCACATTTCAGACTTAATTCTCGCTATTGTGACTAATTCACTATTTGGACTTCATTTCTTAGAAGTATGACTTTTTTTCTGATAATTGCGACTTTATTTTTCACATTTGAGACTTATTTCTCGCTACTGAGACCATTTAACTTATTTTCGTCTTCATATTTTGACAAATTATTTCTTCCATTATAACACAATTGAGTTTTTTTTTTTCTCTTTTAGCAACTCAGATAGGTATTTGAAACTATCTTTCATAATTCAGTCTATGACAGTGTAATATATCTCACATTAGCGACTTTGTCACAGTTTGGACAATTATTTCTAATATTTGCGAATAATTGCAAATTAAGGCCCAATCCCAATTCTATTTTATACCCCTTCCCCTACCCCTCCGCCTACCCCTTCCCCTTGTCCCTTGAAACAGAGTGTCAAGGGGTAGGGGTGAAAATATTCCCCTAAGAATTGGGACACTACTACTATATGTCACACGTCATCATATGTCGTCTAGCTCCTACAATACACACACCTATACTGGTGTGCTGGTGTGTGCATTAGAGCCTTTAATTACCATTCTATATTAACGCGCTGCTTACTGACACACACACACACACACACACACACACATTAGATATCGCACAGCTCACACATCCAGCAGCAAAGAAACTTGTCAAGCTGCCCCACGACTTTTATTAATAACAGTTTAAATACTGAATCGCTACATTATATTTTCCAGCAATGAGAAGATAAAATCGCTGTTTTTGAAGTAAACTCTAAAAAGAGAAACGCACAGACGCGCATACACGCAACTTTCATCTCTCTCTCTCTCTCCCTACCCCTTCACGTGAACGCGCGAAACGGAGGGGTAGAATTGGGATTGGGCCTAAGTGTTTTTCTCGCAGTTGAGGCTGTTTTTCAAATTCGAGTCCCACATTTACAGTATACTGCAGATTAGACTTTATTTCTTGCATTATTTTAAAGAAAAAAAAGTGGGTGGGCAAATACTCAATAATATATAGCCTACTTTTCATGATCTATTCAAATCTCAGTGGATACAATCATGTCTCTCCCCTACATAATTTGCCACTAAATATTCTGTTTTACTTAATTAGGTTAAAATTAATTTTCATGAACATTTCACATCTTTAAAACCCATCGTTTGTGCTTCAGGCTCACATACTGGAGTTTGGTTTGACGGTGCATGAGAAGTTTGTTCCTCAGGACATGCGGCCTCTGCACAAGAAACTGGTGGATCAGTTTCATCTGATGAAATCCAGCCTCGGCATACAGGTGCATATCAGCAGTCAGATTCTTTCTGATTTCCCAAGCCGTTCGTCATGCATTCATCCTTCTGTCCTTCCCACGCTCTGAAGGAGTTTCCAGCCTATGTGCGAGCCAGTCCGATCCACTTCAACGGAAGCCCTCGAGCCGGAAGAAACTCAGCACCCAACATAATGAGTCCAGAGGGAGGAGCGCGTGTGGTGTCACGCCGCAGGTGAGGAGCTCTTTTCGGGTTTGAGTCGGCAATTTGGGTTTTTTTAGTGGCTAGTGCTTGTATCTAGAGAGCAGGATAGCTAATAGAAGATACAATGTTCATGTATGTAATATAAGTAGGGTTGGGGGAAAAATAGCATGCTAATTTCTGCAATTTACTGTGATTGGATGCAATAAATTTATCTCACTTTCTGTGGATAGCATTATATGCTTGCATTCTTCCCACTGACTCCAAAATCAATTGATTTAATTAAAGGGGTGGTTGATTGCGATTTCACTTTTTTAACGTTAGTTAGTGTGTTCTGTTGCTGTTTGAGCATAAACAATATCTGCAAAGTTACAACGCTGAAAGTTCAATGCAAACGGAGATACCGTCTTTTAAAATGAAGGCAGTTTAATGCCTACAAAAACGGCTTGTAGGGACTACAACGAGTTACTTCCTGGGTTCGTGACATCACAAACCCAGATAAACCCCGCCCCCGGGAACATGCAACAAAGGGGGCGAGGCCATGCTGTGCTGCTTTAGAGAAGAGGAAGAGTTGTTGCCATGCCGTGAAAACTAGGGGAGCACGAAAAAATCTATTTATATATGAATCGCGATTCTGTCTTCTAACGTTTCTAATGGATTCGCAAGGTTCAAAATCAATGTTCTAAAGCAGTGCTTCTTAATCCTGTTCCTCACAAATAACAGCGTATCTAAAAGTATGAGACAACAGCAGCAAAAAAAAAAACATACCATTGAGAGCTGTGCTTGCACAGGTTCTGCACGATCCTCTTCAATAATATCCTCTGGGTCTCAATCGGGCTCAAATTGATAAGCAATATTGACGACGTCGTTGTTTACAATACAACCGGAGCACATGCCGCTGAGGTGAGGGGCGTGACGATTAGACGTGCACTAGAGGCGGTTTAGCCAATCACAACACACTGGGCCAGCTAACCAATCAGAGCCCATCGCCTATTTCTGAGAGAGGGGCTTCATAAAAACAGGACATCATCAACGCGTTTATAGAAGAAGGGACAGAGCAGTGTAGAATAAAGATAAATTATGTGAAAAATAATGCTTTTTTAAAAAAAACGAAGCATTAACACGTTAGACCGCACCCCATAAACACAATCAAGCCTAGAAAAAAAAACAGTCAACCACCCGTTTAATTATGAATTAATTAATTTATGATTGAAGATGATGATTAGTATTATGATTATTATAAGTAATAGTATTATCAGTCATATTATTATTATTAGTAGTAGTTGTAATAGTAGTTGTAGTACTGCTAATGAATGATAAAATATTGATCATGAATATTACATATACATTTAGTCATTTAGCAGACACTTTTATCCAAAGTGACTTACAAATGAGCAATCGAAACCAACAAAAAGCAGTAATTTTATGAAGAATATTATGTTTTTAACAATAATAATAATAATATATTTTTGTCATTTTTTTTTAACAAGTCACAATCCTAAATATAATATTTTGATAATATTTTATATTATTTAATATTTATTTAATATTATTTATTATTGACAATCGGTATTATAAAGTATTAATTTAATATATTTTATATTTTATAAAATATAATGATGACACAAAGATAAATATGCTGAAATTAAACCTTTGTTTACACAGTAGTAGTAGTAATAATAATAATAATAATAATAATTTATTTTCATTTTTACCAATCCAAAATCTTAAATATAATATTTAAGACAAATATGCAGAAATTAAACATTTGTTTACACAGTATTTACACAAAATACTTTCAAAATATTTCAAAGCAGAACATGTTCATTATTTATTGAGAAGTCAGTTTATTGATCAGTCAAAAATGTTTATTGGCCAATTGCAACAAATATCAACATATTGGCTGATTAGGAGCTAATATTTTTCTAAGATGTCAAAATGATAACTTTACTAATCTTCTAGCCAATTCTACACAAATTTTCACCAAAATTTGATGCTACTTCTTAATAGACAACATTTTTATTCAGAGATAGGTTTAACTGATTTAACAAAGTATCACCTGAATGTATTTTAGAGTTTTTCTCTTGTATTAATCTTAAATGTCTCATATAACTTTTTCTTAATTGTATGACTCACATTATTCACTTTATTCTCACCATGAAAATGACAGCATTAAAATAAAATAATTAATATGCTACTTGTTAAAGTCCCCATTTTTATCGTATGTTATTCAGTCCCCTCAGCTACCCAGCGGTCAACCGCTACTCGTCATCCTCGCTGTCGTCGCAGGCCTCCAATGAAGTGAGCAACATCACGGGCCAATCAGAGAGCTCAGATGAAGTCTTCAACATGCAGGTGAGTGCTTGGGCTGTTGCCATTGGACACACACACACACACACACACACACACACACCGGCAGACTCTCTGTTCTCTCGCTGTCTTTCATATTTCCTCCTAATCTCCCTCTTTCTCTCCTGTTCTTTTTCTCTGCTTCTTTTTCTCTCCTAATTGCCCTCTTTCTGTTTTCATCTGTCTCTCTTACAACCCCGCTTAATCTTCCTGTCTCTGTCTTTTCTCTCACTGTGAGAATCGGATTTGTAGGTGTGAATTATAGACTGGACGGACAGATCATTTAGCTTTTTTCTTTTATCCCGAATGATTATTGTATAACCTGTCCATATTATAGACTGACAACAAAGAAGTCTGGGAAGGACTCTTTCTTATGTTTCTCACGTTTTTTTCTTCTCTTTCCAGCCAAGTCCGTCTACCTCAAGTCTCAGTTCCAATCACTCTGCCTCTCCCAACGTGACCAGCTCGGCTCCGTCCAGTGCCAGAGGTGAGAAGAGTCTGTCTGCTCTCAGAGCAGCCATTCCAAACCTTTGCTCTTTTGCAGTATGTCTATATCAAGCTTTTATTTCGGTGTTCACACAGCAGAGCTACTGAGGTTTGATGCCGGCACAGTAACACAAGAACACATGTTAAATATTACAGCGACCAAGCATTCTTGGTGATATTTTTATACTTCATTTTAAGTATTTTTTTTACCTAAAGGTCAGAGAGAGGTTAGTAAACCTAAATTATAACTTGTTGATGCAAAACTGAAGTTACGGAAACTTTTACAACAAAAATTAATAATTCTTATTTGTGACTTGTTCTTATTTGTGATTCTTATAATGCAAAGTCATAGTTACCCTTTTATTCCAGTAACTGTGACTTTTTTCCTGTTAGTTTTAACTTTATTTTTGGTATTTGAGTCTTAAAGGTGAACTATTATGCCCCTTTTTACAAGATGTAAAATAAGTTACCCACTTTGCTAATGTCCCCAGAGTGTGTATGCAAAGTTTAGCTCAATACCCCACAGATACGATTTTATAGCTTGTTAAAGTTGACACTTTTAGCCCATGTCCACACGTACATGGGTAATTTTATAAACAGTTTTTCCTTCTTCCATTTTTAAAAAAATCTCCGTCCACATGAAAATGCAAACGCATGCTATGAAGCACTGTCAAGAGCATGCCAAACCAACAGGTGACAATATAATCTCAACCGTAAAGCCATGTTGGCCAATCAGAAGCCTGAAAAATGTTCTAGTAGGCGGAGATAACAGCGCATGCTCCGACGTCACAAGCCAAAATCTCCGGCTTTGCTGTTTACACGATAACACTGCAACCGGAGTTTTTGAAAATCTTCACCCTGGCAGGAGTTTTCAAAAATGTTCCGTTTCAGTGACCTGGTGCAGCATTTGCGTGTGGACGAACGGTCAAACCGCATAGAAAGGCTGCGGTTTTGAAAATAATCACGTTCGTGTGGACAGAGCCTTAGGGTATGAGCCAAAATGCACCATTTTTGTGTTTGTCCCTTTAAATGCAAATGAGCTGCTGCTCTGGCCCCCTTTTCAGAAGAGGGCGGAGCTTTAGGAGCTCATGCTCTGGCATACTGACAATAACAAACAACCTCACGCACTAAAATGTCATATGCATATTGTCATATTACTTTCATATGCAATTTTTAACTACAACATTCCTATTTATGATCATTCTGGTAGCACGTGAAGGCAGTATCAGTGAAAACAGACAGAGACAATGGTAGCTTTAGCAATATTAGCCTTACAGAGTGCCAAGAAGCTCTTTCAGAAAGGCAATTTGGAAAACAAAATATGACGCACTTACTTTGCCTGGAGCTGACGTTTGCGCACGAAGCGTTGGTGTTGATTCCTTTTTCAGAATAAATATATATCTATATAAGACTTTACATATTTTTTACGGGACATTTCCTTCGAAAATGAAACTTAACCACAGTGTCCTTAGTGGCTCAGATGGAGGGAGTCTATAGGAGACTCCTATGTTCTCAACACATGACACTTGTAATGCCTCTTTGGTGCTGACATTGTATATCTGCAGCAGCTACAGCAAGAAAACAGTAATGGCGGACTGCTGCTTCTCACTCAGGGCTGTGTTTATTAGGGGTGTAACGGTACACAGACGGTTCGGTACGTACCTCGGTTCGGGGGTCAAGGTTCGATACGATATTGATACAACAGGAAAAAAACAAATCTACTATGCTAGGTTTCTTTTCATTTATTTTGAACAGACAGTAGTACAAATTGAAAATGTTTCCACCTAGATGTGAAAATACTAAATATTATATAAAATTATAATGTTATATATATATATAAAATGTGCAGTATATATATACATATAAGGAATAAATTCTTGAAATATATTTGATTTAGTTAACAGATAAACAAGGGGGAAAACAGTGCGACACATAACGTATGCTGAGTTTCAGTTCATTTTTGTGACATGCTTAATTTGTTCACAGAAAGGAAACTCAAATTGCAGAAAGCGACATCCTTTTTGTTTTCTTTATTTTACAAAAGCACAATGTTTTGTTTTCATTGTGAGTGTACACAAATAAAAGTAGACCTTTTACAGTGATGCATTATTAATAAGACAATAAATGACGGAGTGTTTTAAGTTGATTCTGCTGATATAAGTAAACAGTTGAAGTGATCGCGCCGGCGCACACACACAAAACGTATCAGTTCCAGCATTGCTAACTCGACTGCGCAGTTGGTACTCTATCAAAATAAAATACAGTGAACCAAACATCAGCGCGCCCGCCTCTCTGTCACCGTTGGAACGCGACAGAAATACAAAGCCTATAATTTACATAATAAATAATAAATTTAGCATTCAGATACATCGCAAATATGGAAATATTATGTTAATATATTATTATATAAATGATATTATTAATAAATATTATGATATTTGGATTTGTGCCGAATGAGAGAGGTAGGATACACGAGCACAAAGCTCCATTTCGTAAACAGTTGAGTGTGCAAGCCTTTAAAGTATACTCCTTTGTCAGTGAGAGACGTGTTCAGAATCAGCACATGGTCACTGTCTAGTGGCTTTGTTTTCAAGTGCGCCACTCATGGCATTCGCGCGCTGTTCTTCTGCTGGTGGTTATCAAACAGCATTACATTACTGCGGGTGCCCGTAGTACGTCCGTACCGTGACGATTCAGTACGAATGCATGTATCGTTACACCCCTAGTGTTTATGCTTATAGGGCAGAGACCGTCACAAATGGGCGGGGATTTCTCCCTACAATGACGTGTACGTAGGGAGAATCTGGAATCGCTTGTTCTGAGAGACCATTTATGATTTATTGGGAGTATAAAAAAATTAGTGGGTGGATATTTACCATCATAGGCTGGTTGTTTTCACACACTGCAGCCACACAACTGTGTTCAAACACTATAAAAGTGAATTTTGCATAATAGGTCCCCTTTAAGATTTAACAGTACGACATATCTTCATTTCTTATGACTTATGAATTTTTCCTGGTAATTTAGACATATATCACATTGCAAAAAATAAACTCAATTGCGAGAAATTATTACTGTTTTTCCATATTGCATCTTTATTATTTGTTGCAATTACAACTTTGACTCTTTCTTACTTTAAGCTTTATTGCAATTACCTTTTTTTTTTACTCTGATTCAGAATCAGGCTTCCATAATAAACAGATTTCCACGTTAAAAATAAAATGCTACAGCGCAGCGAAGTCTATGGCCCATTTAATGCTGTTTTACTGTGGGTTACAAAAAGCCGGCGTCCTGATATATAGCAGAACTCTCCCCTCTTTTTCTCTCTCTCCTCTGCTCTTCCTTGGCTTCTTATCTTCCTCCATCCAGCATGTATTTACTCGCGGACACAGGTCATAAAAACAGGAATATGTATGGAGACATTTGTGTAATCTTATAGTCTCCCCTTGGCAGCCCTCCATGCCTCCCATAGAGACCCCCATAAAGCAGCGGCAGACAGGAAGCGCTTCTGGAGAATAACAGATGGCATTAAATGCAGCTTGAAGAACTCTAGACTGATGATGACTATCACCGGGGTGCATAAGGGAGCCGTGGCCTCCTGTCCTGTATTGGAGGAGGAAGTTAGTGTTCTGAGCAGGTCCAGGCCGCTCCCCATGACAGCTAGTCTATCTCTCCCTGAGAAATAGCCGTCTGTCACCCCAGCAGAACAACTGTCGCCTTAGCGGGAGGGAAAGACGAGGACTAGCCTTTATTTCATGTGCTGGCTGGTTAGCAAAGAAATGAGAGCAAGATCTGTCTTTTTTTCTGTCTGTGTGTGTGTGTGTGTGTGTGTGTGTGTGTGTGTGTGTGTGTGGGTGGGTGGACAT